TGTTTCTAGCAGCTGGCAGAAACAAAGTAAAAATGATGCAACCAAAAGGGAAATTGGAGAGATTTGAACCATCAGAGGGGCTCAACCTAATGTTCCTGAAGTAAGGACAGTGGAAAGCCTGAAAAGGAATGTGGGCAGAATCTAGGAGCAAATATCAGCAAGGAAACAAAGTAACTATAAGCAATTAGCAGACCATGTTCTATAAGTAGTGTATATTTTTAAAAACTTCATCGCTATAGGAATAAAATACTATTTACACAATGGCAGAATAAATTATATAACTAGGACATTTTATGGACCTAAGGTACATAAATATAGCACCAAAATAATCAATAGAACATTTAAAAACCAACATACACAGATAATTCAAGCCACAGTCCTTTATTTTAAATAATCTATCCTCTTTAATGTCTTTTTTCACATTTCATAAAGTTTTGCTTTATTAAAAGTAGAAACTTTTAAACATGACTTGGTAAAATTAGGGAATTCTCAGAGAGGATTGCCAGTAAGATGTTCAGAGGAAACAGCTTAGGTTTTTAAGATTCAAAGTTCATTATTTATATACTTGAAAAGCTGTAATTAGTTTACCTGAAGATTATGGGGGGAAACTTTGAGTGGTACTAATCTTTAGTGTTTCTAAAATCTTTATCCTCAGTAAGTTAAAAAAAAAAAAACAAGTATAAACTGAATTGAGTGATTTATCCTAGTCCATATAATTGAAATGCCACACCATAGAAAATAAAGTGATTGTATATCACGTTTCTAAAGTGCCTGATGTAATCACATATCTTCAGGAGCTATTCAGGCCAAGCAGCTCCATCCTGTTGGCTGAGTGTTACCATGTTCTTGGCATTTGGACAGCTCAAGTAACAATGGTCCTTCCTAACAGAAAGGTTGATTTCAAAGCTGACCCTATCATGGTGTGTTAATTTAATAGACAAGAACAAGGATGTAGAGGACTAACTAATAAAAACAAACCAGAACATATTGATTTCAACCCAGAAGTCTGGTGTTTAATTTAAAGGACAGCTTTTCAGAAAATCTTCTCTTTTGTTGTCAAACGAGCATTTGAACTTGTCTATCTTTCCAATCACTCAATTAGAATGGAGACAAAGGAGGGATGCTCTTGGCTTTCAAAAAAACACTAGGGCACAGGATGGCTACAGAACTGGGATTCAGTATTCTTTCAGATTGCCGGTTTAATGTCTACTGCCTAGGGAAAAAAAGAGAGATGTCCTTTCTCTTCTCACACTCAACCATTCTCTGCTTTTCTATTGTAGTCACAAAAAGAGAGGTCTAAATCCAAGTAATAGTTTTTAATTTAACATGAAATTATTCTATAGGGCGAATGCCTTTAATTTGAGAAAAGTGAATGATTATACTTGCATTTTGTTTTGTAAGTTAATATGCAACTTTTGAGAAAAGTGAATGATTATACTTGCATTTTGTTTTGTAAGTTAATATGCAACTTAGAATACAAATGGCAGTGAAAATCTCAGTTGATTTACTTTACCTGAAAGTATTAAATTTCAGAGTCTGTAATTTAATTTATTTATATAAATATATACAAGTATATTTTATATATAATGGGAGTGGGTCTGGATAGCCATTTGCCATTATACTTCTAATCTTCCAGAGCCATGAGAAGAGTTCATTGCTTCAGGAAAATTTCTGCTACTTTCTAAAAAGGTAAATGTTAAATGTTCTTAGCTATACTATACAAATGCATTCAGTTACACATGATTTTGCTTTACATGTATAGACACATTGTCCAAATAAATGCATCCATTTCTGTTGCCCTACAAAGGAAGTCCATGTACAAAATATCATTGTCTGTAAAATATAGTCAGTCAGGGTTAATTTTAATTCCTATGGCTATTGCTTAAGTGGAAATTTTTGTGCCACAAACTTAAAATTCTAGAATAAACCTCACAGAGATCTCTTGTCACATGTTACTTTGATGTGTTGTCAGCACAGCTACCTAATTTATATGAGACCTTAAAGTCAGTGTCTCTTTGTAGTGTTATTTGTCAAATGATTCAAGCACTGCTTTAAAATTTATGTGAGATTACTAATCAATCCCAGCGCCCTTAAATTGCATGCTATGCTATGCACAATTTTCTCCTCTAAGCATGTGGAATTCTAAATTGCATTTGCCTTTGATATCTTTATTTTCTTTATTTTAGAAATATGACAGGAAGGAATAATTCTACTATAAAGAGAATACGTGATATTCTGGTAAAGGAATAAGGAACTTGCAGGAATTTGAGATTGTGCATGTGTGTGAAACAGAAATGTAAATGAACACTAGGGACATTCTAATCAAACTATAATACTCTGTAACCTAGCATTTATTTGACATCAGTATGGAGTCTCTTGTATATAAAAATCAGATTAAAAGTCAGGTTATTTGTTAGAGGTAACTCTCATAGATTTGTTATTTCTTTCATTCCAAGTGTTATTCTTCAACCAATTATAAAAATATGCCTTGATTCTGTAACTGTGACATCAAGATTATATTATTTTACTATTTAGGACCTTCTGAAAGCATAGGGTACAGACTGTTGGAAAATATATTGACATACTGGAAAACATAGAATAAATAATGGAATTTTGAATAAGTACAAAACTGTGCATACATTTTTTTTTGACATAAGGAAATGACAAGAAGGCTGAATGAATCATATCTATGTAGGAATCTATACATACATCACATATCTATATCACACACATAAATTATATATACACACACACACACATATTCACAGATACACAGAGAGAGGAGGAAGAATGAGGAAGTGAAGGAAGGAGAGATAAGCATAATGTTACTATAGATGACTGCCCAAAGGTAGTTAACTGAAAAGCAAAAATACTTAGATTTTTCACCCTGAGTTGAGTCCAATTTATAGTCAGTCCAAAGATGGAAATCAGACTACCAGAATAAAAGAGGAAAATAAAGATGATCATCCACCCATCTCAAAGAAAATTTTATTTTATTTATTTATACAAGCACTGGGTACAGCCAGAAGTGCAGAAGGGTGAGAGAATTCACCAGAGCCAGAGCGGGGAGCAGAACAGGCAGACTGATGAAGTACACTGCTAAGGGGAGCAGTGGGCGGCAGTAGAGGTCTGCGCGCCATGTGGGACCCTCTTTTGTGAGACCCTACCTGGTGGCCAGGGATAGAACCAGCACTGCAGAGGCTGTGGGCAGCTTCGCAGCCCAGTGCTCAACAGCTGCGCCACTGGGTAGGCTCTCAAAGAAATTTTTAAAATACAGTCAATGGGTCCAATTTTGTGAAGGTAGTGCTTCATTACAACCTTAGGTGACAAGTCAAAGTAATATAAAGATCAGAGAAAGTTACAATTCTATTAAGTCATAAAAGCTGAGAGGGCTCTAGCACTTCACTTACACATGCAAAGTACCCATGGGGATATGTGAATATAAATGAAATAATTTGAGTATGTAATATCCTAAAAAGCAATCTCAGAATTATGTTGCCATCAAAGCTGGTTACTGCATACACTACAAAATTTCAAAGATTCTTAAATATTGAAATCAAATTTCCCAGTCCCCATGAGTCTATTTCTAGCCATGTTCCCCAATTGTGTACCAACCAGCAACTAAAACGTTAGCACCTACAAGTCAATATCCTTTCTGATTTTTTGTGCTCTGTTCCAACCAAAACTCTTAAGAATATTTTGCTTGTTTTTGTTGTTCTCACACCTCTCAGAACCCAGGAATGTCAATTTTCGTCCCATGTGCATGCCTCCTTTCCTTATCATTCCAGGAGTTTTAAGAAGAAAGGGAGAAGAGGAAGATGGGCATCGCAGGGATCATCTCTAGCACCAACCTGATGGTGAGGACTACAACTACTCAGTAGGAAACTCTCCTTAGAGAAAGGAGGCCATGAAGAACAGTAGGATAGTGGTATGACAGTCCAGGGATGCCAGTGAGGCTCCCCATTTAAGAATCTTTGTTATTTTAATTGACATTTAAAAGTTCACCACTTAAAATCCACTTAAACCTCAGACATTAAAGAACACTCATAATATCTCTTAATTAAAACAAAGATACAATGTCTTCACTGTGCTCAGAAAACGCCAAACACTCATATGAACGCATAAGTACCCACTGGTGTACACATGTATAAACTAAGCACAAAAGTTATCATCCTTTCAATCAATGGAGAGCAAAGCCTATATTCATTAATTACCATGTGATTGCTCTCACATTACCCACAGGATGTATTTATTTAGGTCAAACTAAAGTTAATAAAGTTAATAAATATAATAGAGATTACGGGGGACTGTTTCAAATTTGGGAAATACTAAGTCAAACACATTTAAATTGTTTAAAAAATGCAGACATTTGGGGAATTTAAAAATATTTAAAAATATATAGTCAAAAATATGTCTCACATTCACAAATCAGTTAATCAAAGGGAAGTAAATATTTGAACTAGTCTTTATTCAATTATTTCCTTCTCCCAGTTCTGCTTTTAACTTTCTGGGATGTTTTGTTTTTGATATTTGTATTTTAACTGGTGGTTGACTTTAATGACTGTAATATTAGATTAACGAGTTTAAGAGCTTCTAAATAATATGTGATTAGCACTATTTCTTCATTTATGTACTTTTGAAGATAATTATGCGCCCTTAATATTAATTTAGTTTACTTATAATGTAACCTTTCCCCCATTTCATTTAAAAGTTCACATTTACATTTGTATTTCTTTCACGTATCTTAACTCAATGTGTGCACTCCACATTTTCTCTCTCATCCACAGCCACTTTCCTCCACCTACTTTAGCCAGAGACATGCAGTTTTACTTTAATATCAGTAATATTTGTATTCTCTTCTGCAACCACAACTGGAGTATTCTATTTGAAGTCTACTGAAAAATCCAGTGCTGTGAACTCAACTTTAGGCATAGGAATCATATATCTAAAAATGTAATTTCTTATTCAGGTCCATGTTCCAAGACCTCAATCTACAGTACCTGTAACTTTCAGCTTTTCGGCCCCAATGGTTATCTCATCTTCATCTGCAGAAAACAGCACCCTGCCATCTTCACTCGCTCTCACTTCAAATCTTTTACACTGAGCTTCCACAGCATCAGCTCCTAAGGTCAGAGGAAAGGTTTAAAAATGAAATTGGTGTTCAGGAAATTATTAACATGTAATTTTAGAAAAAAGAAGAAAAATAAGAAAAACACCAATATTATTCAGTTTTTTACATCTGACCTAATATTTTATAAAATTATTATCCTTGTCAGGATTTGGTGATTATTGATGGGTAGGTTATTGGACATATAGCTGACCTCTAATGCCTGGCATAGTTCTCAGGAGGTTTGTTGATTTACCCAATTGAAAGCTCTTTACATGTACACTGGGACAGATGATGTCCACTTTATTCTTGGTTAAAGCTTGTAGACTTGGCATTGTTACTATGACCTACTGGATGGTCAGTACATACTTGTGGACTGAATAACTCTTTTTCTATCTGAAAGCAGATAATTTGTCCCTATTTACTGTATCATAGTCTACTTCTAAAGCATTATTCATTTATGAATCTTAGTTATTCTATATTTTAGAGTTTAATATCGATATTTTGACACTGTTTAATTTTACCAAATGTGAATTCATTTTATAGGAAATCTTGCAATTCTGTATACACATATATAAATGTGCAAAATATTTATTTTCTTAGCGCTCCTTTTAATCAATAATTTTCTTGAATTATGAAAAATGGTATTAAGTAAATATAATTATGGTATACAATTAGAAATCTATTCCCAACTTTATGGCCTGTTTTGCACTCTTACACATCCGCAAAGTCATCTCCCATATGTGGAAAACATGATTAATTTTGAGAATTCAAAAGTCTTCAGCAAGAAAATGAAACTGGTCAAAGAATAAGAAATTGCTATTTTCACAACAACAATGTTTCTTCTGTCATAACACATATAGTTTGTGGATCTTCTGTTAAGATGGGAAACATCCTTTCTCTACTATGTATCAGAAATTCTTGTCAGGTATTATCCTGCAGTCAGGGGTGTAGGCATATCACATTGTGTGCCTACTTCCTTCTTTATGTACACTATGATGATTTTTTTAAAGATTTATTTATTTATGCATACAAGAACTGGGGTGCAGGACAGAGATGTGGGGGTTGAGAGGATTCACCAGAGACAGAGTGGAGAGCAGAACAGACAGATTGACTGAAATACACTGCTGAGGGGAGCAGTGATCGAGTTAGGAGAGGTCAGCTGTGACATGTGGGTTTCTCCCTGGCCAGCGGGGATTGAACTCATGCTGCAGAGGCTGAAAATAGCTTCATAGTTTGCATATTTTTATTTTTTAATTTTTTATATATCTCTTAAATCATTTTTCATTTTTACACAATGTATGCATTTTCATCTTGGTTATATTCCCCATACAATTGCACCCACCTTATTTTGACCCCAACCCCTCCTCCCCCTGCACCCCCGTAGCATGTCTCTGGTTTATCTTTGCTTGTTCATTTAGATTTTTTCTTTATTATAGTTATTCTTTTTCCTGGTCCCTTATTTAGGTTTTCTAAACTCCTGTTATGATTGAGACCATCCGGTATTTTTCTTTTTATTTCTGGCTTATTTCGCTAAGCATGATCCCTTCTAGCTCCATCCATGTTGCTGCATTTTGCTTGAGTTTATCTTTTTTGATTGCTGAGTAATATTCCATTGTGGCCAACAGGCATATGAAAAAATGTTCAACATCACTTGTAATCAGGGAAATGGAAATCAAAACTACAATGAGATACCATCTTACACCAGTGAGAATGGCACATATTAAAAAAACTAGCAACAACAAATGTTGGCGAGGATGTGGAGAAAAAGGAACTCTCCTGCACTGCTGGTGGGAGTGCAAACTGGTCCAACCACTATGGAGATCTGGGTAGAGATTCCTCAACCTACTGAAGATAGAGCTTCCATATGATCCAGCAATTCCACTCCTAGGTATTTATCCAAATGACACAGAAACATTAATTCAAAAGGGCACCTGCGCCCCTATGTTTATAGGTTGCATCTTAACCCCTTGTGCCACCAGGGAGGTCCAATGATCTGCATTTTTGTTTCTGCCCCAAGTTCATGTTGACCAATTATGATGATATTAGGAGCTGGGGAAACTTGGGAGGTAATTAGATCATGAGGGTGGAATCTCATTAATGGGATTAGAGCCCTTTAGAAAACCACAAGTAAACTTGTTTTTCTCTCTCTCTACTATATGCAAGTTAGGTGCCTACAAGAAGTCAGTTCTCTTCAAGCTAGGAAGTGGCCCCCTCATCAGACACCAGATATCCTGGCACCTTGATCTTGGACTTCCCAGTCCCCAGGACTGTGAGAAATAAATTTTTGTTTTTGTTTTTTGTTTGTTTGTTTTTTTAGTTACCCTGTTCATGATATTTTGTTGTAAATTCAATCATTACTTGTTAAAGATGTAACTTTTAGGAATTCAAACTATGAGACCTATTTGTACTCCAAATATTGTTTACATTTAGAGCTGTATCTGGTTTCTAGTGGGAATTTAGCAGAAGAATGTGTGATAGATGAATGAATACCAGCCATAAGTTTTCTTTGTCCTCATCTCTACCTCACTCCTACTCCAAATCCTAGCCTGTGGGCTCTACTAACTTTCCCCTTCCCCATCATCGCTGTTTTTCAGGAGCACTTAACAAGAGGAAATTATTAATTTCCATCCCTCATTTGGGATAATTTCTCTGAGAACAAGATGCATATTTTTCTTATTTTTCTTATATTCTTAAATTATGTTAGATATTTTCAGGTCCACATAGAAAACTTGAAAAGCTACAACTAGGACTATCCTAAGTAAAATAAAACTTGTATTAGCCTTGTGGGTGGGCAAGTTCAAAACAGTGTGTGAGTTGTATTTAAAAATCTGTGATTTTTTTTCTTTTTTAAGAAAATAACTTTCCTTATGGAACTCAATGAAAATTTTGGAGACATCATAGCAGACTTCTTGTCCTTGGTCATAGTAATTGCCTTTTTAAGTCAAGTGTTATTTCAACAGACTATTCAGTTGAGTGTGTTTTCTTGTAATCATAGTCTACTTAGCATAACATTCCTATCTTGCACTCTTAATATTTGAAACATAGCATTCCTGCTGAAATGATTTTCAAAGAGTATTGTTTTAGCATGAGTTGTTGATACATGTGGATTCTGGGTTTTGAGGTCTCTATGCTGCATTGTATTTCTAAGGGCCATAAGGTATACTTAAATTTGAACTGGCCAGAAAATTACTATATACATGGAATCTTAACATGCACATGACACTTAGCCTTTAAAATAGAGTTAATTATTGGGTGACTTGATATACAAAATATACACTGAGTTTGATTAGTTTGATATTGAAAAAGTTCTGTGCGTAAATACCTATAAATACATATATATTCACATATACACGCATCAGAATTTTCTTGCCATAACTCTTAATATTATATGAAATGTAATATTTTACATAACACATGTGATTATAAATTAAATTAAAAATAAAAGATAAAAAATTAAAAATGATAACATTTCTAACATAAAAATGATATAGTGTATGTCACACAAACTTCAAGATATGTAAGTTGAGTGGATTTGGTAAAATTGAAATCTTAATTCTTAAAAATGAATAAACAAATATGAAAATATGCATATACACAGAGTAGAATATATATGTCATAAATACATTCAAGCAGAACAATCTAACTGAAAAACAGATACACAATTCAGCATTACAGACTATATTTTAGTCAACATATGAGTCTAATTATAGAAGGTAAAATTGCAAGTAATTAGCAGTGCATAGATAATAAGTATCTTAAATCAGAAAATAATTTTGGATATATTGTACTGCTATGTAAATCTTTGCTGGATGATTCCTGAAGGAATTTTGATATAGATATCAGAGAAAGGAGGTTTCCACTCTTCACAGGAGGGTGAGATATAGATCCATAAACTATATGTGTTATGACAAAAGAAACAAATTGCTTTTATTTTTTGCAAAAAAGGGAAATATATGTAGTCGTATATAAATTACATTATTGTGAATATTTGTAATAATATTGGACTATATGAAACTGATTTTATTGTATCCTAATATGTTTTGTGTTGCCTTATTTTTTTTTAATAATATATTTTTTAAATATTTATTTATTTATTTATTTATACAAGCACTGGGTACAGTCAGAAGCGAGTGCGGGAGGGTGGAGAATTCACCAGAGCCAGAATGGGGAGCAGAGCAGGCAGAAGGACAGAAGTACATTGCAGAGGGCGGCAGGAGAGGTCTGCACACCATGTGGGACCCTCCTCCGGTGGCCGGGGAGCTGCCGGGGATCAAACCGGCGCTGCAGAGGCTGCAGGCAGCTTCACAACCCAGCGCTCAACCGCTGCACCACTGGGGAGGTCCTGTGTTGCCTTATTTTGTTATTCATGTTCCTAGTATCACACATTGTCTAGGTTAGATCAATGCAGTATCCAATTGTTGAGAGGGGCATTGATATCCAGCTCAATTTTATCTCAACCAGTGATACCCCCAGAGTTGTGGGAAAGCAATACACCTGGATGACTCTAGGCAAGGAGCTCTGGGCCTTTGCAAATCAATCATGAGTGATGAAATTATCTAGGCAGTACTGTGTTTTATCAGTTGTCTCAAACACCAACTTGCTAACTAAAGTATTAGAATTAAATGCTTCCTTAGGAATATCTTTGAGGAAGTTTGTCAGCAACTTCAAAATAAAACAAAAAGTACTTAAGGCCAGCATAAATAAAAAAAAAAAATGGTAGAAAGAAAAGAGAAAATATGTAAGCAAAACATTGTTCCTTAGGGCCTCCCTGGTGGCGCAAGGGGTTAAGCACCACACTATGAAGCAATCCACAGCCTCTGCAGCATGATCCTGGGCCAGCCAGAGAACAACCCACATGGTGTAGCAGACCTCTCCTGCCTCACCCACTGCTCCCCTCAGCAGTGTATTTCAGTCAGTCTGCCTGTTCTGTTCCCCGCTCTGTCTCTGGTGAATCCTCTCTCCCCCTCCCACCCCGCCACATCTCTGGCCTGTACCCCAGCTGTTGTATGCATA